ACGACGGCGTAGATGCTGCGCAGCGACAGGTTTGCCGTCGACGCGCCGTTGAAGGCGAACCACCCGAGCCAGATGAAGACGGTGCCGAGCCCGACCAGGAATGGGTTGTGCGGCTTGAAGTGGATCGCTGCCCGCTTGCGCGTCGCCGCCGTGTTCTCGGTCAGCCGCGGGCCCAGCATCATGGACCAGGCCAATGCGCTGAACCCGGACGCGATGTGCACCGGTCCCGAGCCGGCAAAGTCGTAGACGCCGAACCGGTACAGCCAGCCTTTGGGGTTCCATTCCCAGAAAGCCAGGCTGCGACGGGCATTGCAATCAGCAGCCTTTTCTATCGTTTCTTTCCGGAGAGACTGATCGGAGCAGAAACGGCCAACTCACATGTAATACACAAACGTGGTCCAGCAGAGCAGAAACGCCATGCTCGGAAACAGCCGCCCGCGCTCGAGCATGGCGCCCGCCAGGATCATGGCGGTCACAGTGACGAAGGTGAAGCCGAAGCAGGCGTAGAGTATATCGGGGATGTCCGAGTTCGCGAGCGAGGGCGAGGCCAGGACGTTGTGCAGGCCGGCGAGCGAGAGGTTGCCGATGAAGGGGCCGTCGGCGCGCGACTGGTAGAGCGAGTAGCCGTAGATCCAAAACTGGATGCCGCAGGCCGAGGCGCAAAAGAGCGACTGGAACACCATGGTCAGGGCGGCCTTGCGGCGGTGCATGCCAGCGTATAGGAAGCCGATAGCCTGGGATGGTAGGGTAAGCATGGGGCATGCAGACATGAAAGTCGACATGATCGATTCTTGACCCTGCAAGCGGAGACTTCCGGGGCTCACAAACCGGTGTGATCTGCCAGCACAATATGGTGCAGACGAGCAGCCAGCAGAGATCACCCTTGTCGTAGGGCGCGTTGAGGTCCTGCATGATGGGGTCGCCGCCCTGCGGGTTCGTGCCGTAGTCGGGCCATTGCGTCACTGGGACGGGTGCTCCCGTCTCGTTCATGCCGCTGCTTTTATCGGCTGGTCACTAGTCTCGGGAGCTGCGTATCGTGGCCTGGATTATCGCCAGGGTCACAGTGATAGAAGCGCCGATGTGACCGCAGCTAAAAGAAAATGAAAAGAAAAATGATAAAAAAAAATTAAAGAAGAGCGAGAGAGAGATGCAAATAAGCTGTCATCGGCGCCCGCCTTTTTGAGATGCGGACTATCTCGCATCATTTATCTCGGATTCCATCATTGCCGGGCATGCGTACGTTGCAACGCCGAAGGGCCAAGAGATAGGACAAAGTCTGTCGGCAGTCAGCCACTCCCAACCCCTGTCCCAGGCTCGGTCAGGGGTGAGTGGGTGGGGAGGAGTGATAAGACAAGTCCCGTTGGCGAACTGGGCGGGAGGGATCGCACGCAGGGGTATCGTTCCCCAGTCGGGAAGTTTTTGTTGACAGCTTCTCGGCCCACGCGAACAACATGCAGTCGACACGAGCCGCCAGATTCGGTGGGAGATATAAAGTTAGGGTGGGTGAACCCCGAGCGAAAATATTGATAAATGGAAAGCGTGGCGTGGTAGCCTGTACCGCAGGGGAAAAAAAATAAAACAGCCATTTCAACCCAGCGAGGCGGCTCGAAAGAGAGAGGACGATAGAACGATTCGGCACCGAACATCGGAACATCGAAATCGACGAGAAAGACCTGCCTGATTGGAAAACCACGATTGCTTCCTGCTACAGTTCCCAACGACCTCTCCTACCCAACTTCTGTATCCCTTACCCCGAGGGCTCGGCTTCCCTCAATTAGACCGTCTTTTGAGCTCCTGCGCCAGAAGGGGCTCTCGAAACGCCGTGGCTTTCCGCGGATATTCTTCTAGCTAGCGAGGAACACTCAGGCGGTCATGGCCACTCCGGTCGGAGAAGTCATCTTCACCACACTGATTCAAGTCGCTCTCTGACCTAAATAGGGTGTCCTAGTCATATTCCCGCTTCTCCCCTCGCTAGAATCCCTAAGAGACTGGCCCTGCTGATGGTCCTGGGCCGCACTCTGTCCTGGCCTTGTCCATGGGCGGCCACACGCTCAGCAGCGAATCTGAGGCGAACGCAGCACCCACATATCCCCCTCGGATCTGCGACGTCATCCACCACAAGCTAAAGTCGGACGGCCCGGAATCTATCTTCCCTTCCGCCTCCCAGACCGACGCCGTCCTCATCAGCCTAGACAACCCTTGGCTCGTTGCCTTCGACGCCCGATTAGCACCCTGGGTCTTTACGCCTATTTCGGGTCTAGAACTCGGTTTGGCTCGCAGTCGTGAGACCCAGGACGTGGAACGCATTTTCACCTATAAAGAGTCGAAAAGAATCGATTGGCTTTCGCCCCGCACGGTCGCCGCCGCGGACATTAAAGACTTTTTACCAACCGATAAAGAATCCCTCCTCCGAAATATATGGCGATGCTTTTTTGCACTCCTTGAAAGATCCTCCATTCTTGAGGTCTACTATCTGCCGCCAAAAGCCCGGGCGGTTTTGTCAGGCTTCGATCCAATGCCGCTGGCGTGGTCCATGCATAACCCGGGGGGCCTAACGTGGCGGTTGTGGAATGCTTGAGCCGGGGGAATGCAGGCGAGCATGTTGGCAGAAAGAGGCCACGGGCTTCCCCCTATCCATCAGCAATTATCATCCCGAGCGGCCGAACGCCACCCGGACGCGGAAAGGCAACACCCTAAAGCGGGAGGTTTGCAATGGGTTGGGCTTTGCAGCTCGTATAAACCACCTGCCCGTTTGGGACTGCCGGTATGCAGTGCTGTGGTGCATCTCTCGTCAGCAGCGGAGCAGAAAAAGACACCGACTGCATACAACGTCCCGGCCTCCGAGACAACGGCCGCGCAATCAGAAGTATTTCCAGGTGATGTATCTCGGGACGGCGGCCGATGCTTAAACCCGCACCAGCGAGCATGCATAGCGTTTTTGACTCCAATTAGCCGGATCCAATCTCCTGCTCTCCCAGCCATCCTCCTCCTAATCCTACTCGAGCTGCTGGCCTGCCAGAGGCCCTGTAGCGTGTAGATATCAGGATGGCAAGAACAAACTGCACATTCTGACTCCTGTATTGTTATACAGCGGTAACAAACGCTGAGAAAACACCATGCGGCCTGCGGCCTGTATTGCGGCGGCCTTTGGGCTGGCTTCACCAGTATGCGTCGTTGCCACTGAGCCCCTCACGGCGGACAAGGTCGAAGCAGACATTACCACTACCGGGTAAGCCCACTGCTGGCACATATCATAAAATAAAGTGGCGCTTCTAACCGCCCGACCGGAAACAGACTCCAGCGCGTGCTCTGGAACCTCAACAAGATCGCGCGCGACAACGGTGGCAATCGCGCCTTCGGCACGCCGGGCTACAGGGCCTCGGTCGACTTTGTGTTGGAGCGCGCGCAGAAGCGGTTCGGCAAGGAGATGAACACCCACCTCCACCGCTTCTCATACTGGTTTGAGGACCTGCGCCAGATCAAGCTAACGGGTCCCGACGGCGAGGACGTCCGCGTGCTGTCGCCGCAGTACAACGTCGCCGGCGACCTCAGGGCCGCGCCGCTCGTCGACACCCCCGTCGACGACGTCAACGGGTCCGGCTGCCTGCCGGAGCAGTGGACAGGCGTTAACGCAACGGGCAAAATCGCGCTCATCAAGCGGGGCACGTGTCCCGTGTCCCGGAAGCTGACGCTGGCGAAGCAGCACGGGGCCGTCGGGGCGCTCGTCTGGAACGACAGGCCTGGAAACGCCATCACTGCTCTGACCCTCGGCGCGGAAAACAGGAACTCTATCGTCCCCGTCGGCACCATCACCCAGGAGGTCGGACTGGCGTGGAAAGCACGGCTCGCGGCGGGCGAGCAGCCGCTCGTGTCGCTTCTCGTTGACAACTCATACGACGTCCGGGAGTCCTGGAACGTCATCGCGGAGACCAAGGAGGGCGACCCGAACAGGGTCGTCATGATCGGCGCCCACCTCGACAGCGTGATCCAGGGGCCCGGGATGAACGACGACGGGAGCGGCAGCGCGGCCGTTCTCGAGATCATGGGCTCCATCAAAAAATACGGCGGGTTCCCCACAAGATCAGATTCGCCTGGTGGGGGGCCGAGGAACCTGGCCTTGTCGGCTCTCGGGCTTACACGCAGGCACTCAACGCCACCCAGGCCGATGCCATCCGGTACTATTTCAACTACGACATGATCGGATCGGTCGCCCCCGTTTACGAGCTCGCCGAGAACGAGCAGAGCGGGGTCGGGCCGGTCCTGCTGTCAACCTACCTCGAATCCAAGGGCAAGCCCGTGACCTACACGTGAGCTGAGTCCTCTTGCACCAACACACTACTTTTCGCTCTGTATCTGTCACAGCTTTGCTAACCCTCCGCCGCTCCTTCGACGCTCCAGCGAGTTCGACACAGGATCAGACTACGCCAGCTTTATCGCCCTCGGCATCCCGACCGCCGACATTTACACGGGCGAAGACCCGTGCTACCACCAAGCCTGTGACACCATCGACAACATTGACTGGGACGTCATCACGACCAACGCTAAGGCTGCGGGTCGCGCCCTTGCCACCCTTGCGCTCTCGCTGGACGGCGTGCCTCCACGGAAGCCACCGGCCGCAAGGCGGAACCTGGTCGGCGCTTCAGAGTCGTTCCGGCGGGGGTCCGCGGGCGCCCCGCGGAGAACTGCAAGCAAGCAGGGTCGTCGTCGGTTTGGAGTATAGACGGGCAAGCAAGCGCACGCGTTGCGGTCCCGTTAATGACCATTGGCGATATGAAGGGCAGATGTTACAGCCTATCTAGATAGAACTAGTTTCGCTGACACTGTTGGGTATAATATAGTGATGATACCTGATAATGAAAAAAAAGAAGAAAAAAAAAGGCGGGGGCCGAGGACTTGATCGGGTATCTCTGCAGACTCCTCTGCTTCGCCATGTCTTCACGCAGTCCTCTCGACGCTATGCGCATATAACAAAACATACATGTGCAGGCGGGCAAAAAGTGCGTCCCCGCCTGGGCTCGAACCAGGAACCTCCTGATGACTTGTCATCCACAAACGCGGCATAACAGTCAGACGCGCTAGCCAATTGCGCCACGGAGACTGAAATATTTCCTTGCTGGGTCTTGCGAAGGTTTCGTGGGCGCTATGTAAGTTGAGGGGTGCATGGAGATAGACGAGTCAGGCACTGGAGTTATGGGCCTTGGCCCCTGAATGGATGATCCTGCGGTTTAGGTTTGGGATCCGACCGCTTTCGCTTGAAGCCCCTTTATTGGTAAAGCGGTCGGAAAACCCGAGGAATTGTGGCGGTGGCGCAGGAGCGACCTTGATTCCATGTCATGCACAGGACTGACAACAGACTTACAAGTCCGAAAGCGAGGATTTCTCTGTCCTAGAATCTCCTCTAGCGCTGGCGTCCTCGCGACCCGACAGGCTCTTTGTGTTCCTCCGCCGCGAGCAGAGCGGCGCCGCCCGTTGGGTGGTGAGCCGTATTGGGCATAGGCGCCTGGGAGAGTGGAGAACGAGGTCGCAGCGAGTGTGGCCGAAGAGGACGGGGAACGAATTCGAATCGGGCGTCCTGGCTGACTGGACAGTGATAGGAGATGGACATGAATGTTTACAGCTATGTCGTGCGGCCGAGGTTTGGTGTATAAACCCTTTTATTTCGTTTCTTTTTTTTATATCGGGTGGGGTACTCGTGTACCCAGCCGTCTGTCTCTTCGTTATAGTCCTTCATTACCTACCATTCAACGATGAACCATCGCCGTTGAATGTTGATCCTACATTTATAAATAAATAAAAAACACCGTTTCGCAAATACCGACCGCCTTTGGTGAATCCGGCAAAGTCTTCCTCTTAGACTTTATATCATAGCACCGAGGACGTCCCCGTCCGCTACATAAGCCAGAGGACCGGTAGCTCACCTTGTGGGTTCTGCCAGACGACGCAGCAAAAGATGCCACTCCGTACGTCACCAAAACCGGTCCAAAATATGGAAAAGGAGCTCCAGTGCTGACTTGCCGCTTGGAGAGAGCTCTGCACCCAGACGGGTTCGTCCGTGAAGGTGCTTCGTCGGTGCAAGTCACTGAGCCGAGGCTTGGGAACCCGCAACCGTTCCCATAGCCCTGGGCCACCGGGACAAGCAGGTGCACCACGAACACGTGGTCAGCGGGCACGGGGCCTGACACGGTTCCAACGACCTAGGCCCCCCGACGACGTCTTAGTCCTGCTCGCCTATGTACACCGACAGTGGATACCCTGAGGGGTCGGCCATCATCCCGGCGTACGTGCGAAGATGACCCCAAAGGGCGCGCCTTTGAAGCGCTTGAGATCCCCGGATCGTCCTTGGAGACTCGCATCGTAGTTCGGAGGGTACCAGGGATACAAAGTCAGCGAGGATGCTGGTCCTATTTGTTTTGGGTATGAGGTGGGCTGGTGACTATAAATGAACTCGGCGATGATGCGATAATCCTACCGCTCGTGTTGGATGTACATGGCACAAGGTACGCGCAGCATGGAATGCCCCTGGGGAGGCCAATCCCTGAGCGTGCATCACTGATGGGTTCGTACGTGTGGAGGTCACCCAGGTCGCCCCGAGGGGCACGCGGGGAGGGCGTTCTGGGGAACGCTGTCCATCGCACTGGGAGAAGGGCATCAGGGTGACGTGTCGTAACGGTGGCCTCGCGTCCTTCCACCGCGGCGAACAAGGGCCACCTGTTGTTGACGAAGGCCGCTCCGCGAGCGTGGTATACCTCGGCGCGGGTCCTCGGGATGACTTGCCGAGACAGGCCCGGACTTCACCGAGGCCCGACTTTCGCTAGAGATCAGGCTTTACTTTGACTGGCGTGCCAGGGCGGAGATGCATAGGGGCTAACCACGAAGGCCCTTGGGCGAAGATAGGGGAAATTTTCCTAGGTGAAACGCATCGTTTCTTTTTTTCCTCCGCGAGACAGTCCTTCCTAGGCCGGCGTCAGGGAAAAGATTCCAGGCGCCGCCGGGTGGACCTGCCATTTCGCCCTCGTCCGAGAGCCATTTAGGTAGTTGGTGGCGGATCGAAGATGACTTGGTCTCGCCCTATGAATAGCAAACGATCTCTCTGTTTTCAGGTGGAGGAGACTCCGCTCACCATCAGCCTCACTCATTCCAGGGATCGCAAGCCAAGCCCTTAATCATCGCGCCGGTCCCATAAAGCCGTTCTACCGGTTCAGGGGTATGCGAGCTAGATGAAGCTTGGCCTTCCGCTAGCGAGGAGAACGAGTGACGCCACAGCCCTGTGGCGAGGCGTTAGTCGTTCAGTCTAGTGCGCACAACACGTGGCTGGCCGCTGTTCGATGCGACGGACGCCTGTCGCACATGATCAGCGTGCATAGACGACCGTGGAACAGAACCCACGAGGCTGTTCCCTTGTTTCCAGATCCCCCTTTTTTCCTTTTTCTATCTATAGAGTCTATCTACGGAGCGAGAATCGGGATTCCGAGTCTGGGCGCCACGGCTTTTTCTCGGCCTGAGGATCCACGTCACGTGGGAACTGTCGGCCTGGCCGGCACTGGCGGTAGGCAAATAAGGGGGCATCGCATTCAAAACACTCATGCGCGACAAGCTGGGGACGGATCAATTTGTTGCACAGACGCCAGGGCGACCTGTTCTTTTTGACGTGTCCGTTTTTCTATTTTTTGTTTTTCGCGCATCCATCCCGCCCTACCTCTCTCTCCTCGTTTTTCTTTTCCCATCAGGTGTACTACTTTTTAGCCCAGCCCTGGACCTTTGGGAACGATCGGCAGGATTCGAAGTGCCCAGCATTCTATGCCGCCGCCATACAAATGAGAGTGGCGGGCGTTTGTCGTTTCACGACAACATGCGCGTAATTTTTGGCAAACGGGAGGATTCCGCCAAACGCGAAAGAATGCAAATCATGTCTTGGCGGAAACAAGGGGCCGTGCGGGACAATGTCATTCGCAATGCGAATCGGACTCGCCTACCTCCTGCGCCCCCTTATTGGTCACCATCAGACACCGTGTATTGGCACTGTGGCGGCGAGTCTGTTCCACCGCATCCCTGCGTCGACAAGGCCTCCTGGTCGCTGCTGGGGGCTCTTGGCGTCGCAGGATGCTCACGTCGCGGGGACCGCAATCGTTATACCTACAGCCACGTATTTCCTCCCGCCCCTCGGACTCTAATGGCCGTATTCTGGGCGAGGCCGCGCAATACTTCTTTTCTCTTCCCTACCCTGTTTAAGGTAGGCACTGCAACCTTATGTGGCAAAACCCACCTACCAGGAGACTCGGCAACGAGATAGCCGGGTAACCTTAAGTCCGCCCGTATACTCACAGTGTCCGCTCCCCGGCATCTCCTTCAGGCTGGCCGAGGACACATAGCTTATGTACGCACCTATCTAGGTAACCTACTAGTAGCTTTTCGAGCCGAAGCCGACTTGGCGTTGGCGCCTGCTCGCTACCATCCCGCCTGAGTCCCGCCCCGTCCGGATGTCCGTGAGGTGGGTTTGGTTCTTTTCTTCTCGCGCAAGTCCATTGCTGTGTTAACTGCACCCAGAAAACCGTCGGGCAGTTTCAGAGACGTGATCGCCCGTGCAGCAAACGGAAAACATGTCGAAATTCCTTCCCGCTGTCAAAAAACCTGGTTTTTCTAGCCAAGTCGTAGATTTATTGCCTTGGCTTTGTGCGACTCCGGCCGATCTCCAAAACACTAGGAGATCCGCTAATTCCATCACACGTCTGCCAGACGGATACGTATGTGCCTAGGTAGATTATTAACGGCCGACTTGGCAAACACCTAACGGCCAAATTCCAACGAAATTAATGCCGTAAGGTGGAGCGTGTATCCGTATATCTCTTCTGGCCAATGTTGGTGACAGGTGACATCCCATCATCAGATGGGCGCGGGGCACGATAATGCAAAAATGAGCATTTTGCGCGCATAGGTAGACCCCGCCCGTCTAATCGCAGGTGTTGGGATGGAAGTAAAAACGTCTCTTCCAACCGACTCGGCTTCCAACAGCGCTGAGGCGCGCCGCCCTACAGAATATGCAGCCAAGCGTTTGACAATCAAAGCCTTATCGACGCGGCAAAGCAAAGGTTGTCCCGCCGGGTGACGTAGTAGCTCAGCCGAACAGGGACTGGGAGCAGAAGTCACCCTGGCGAAGGGAGACGGCCAATGCTACCACACAGCGGGTAGTGAAGTGAGCGGTGTCTCACGTGCTTCTGGGGCGTGCGACCGCCAGAAATGAAACGGCAGCAGAAAGGTAAAAAAGAAGAAAAAAAAAAGCTTCGAAGCTGATCAATCGGCCGCATGCTACCGTGTATTGAGCAGCTCAAGGAAAGGCCAGCTCCGGGCGTTCCATCTGGACTTTCGGCAAAGGACCGTGCGGTTCCACCTCCCTTATCCTGCCACCCTATCGCAGGGCGGTACCAGCTATCCGCTGTGGAGGGAGCGGCTGTTGTGATCCGTCCGCCAACTAGCACGACGGTGCCGAAAGTTTGTGTTCTGGTGATTGCTACCTCGAATAGCTTATTAGAACAATGAGGTGTTTGCATCCCAAAATCAGGCCAGAAAGATCGGACAGCGAACAAAACGATCGTGGGGTGGGAAACGAGCCCAGCGGTTTCCTGGTCCCAGGATAGCACTGGTACCTAATTGTTGCCAAGACATGAGCCGAGGGGCGATTTGTGGTCCTGCACGCAGCGCAGGGACAATCAAGTGCGGGATGGACCGCGGCTAGCGGCAAAGCATGAGAGCCGCGCGATTCTCTTGCTCTCACCTGCCGCCCACCTATGCCTGATCTGCCTGATGGGAGCCCAGGCGGCTGAGCCCCAGGCAGATCCGCGTCGTCGTCCCAAGTCAGCAGACGCGGGTATGCTTCAGTATGCATACCTTTGTTTAGGATGCGGGGACATGTCCGTCGATGCGACTGAAATGAGGGCGCTGGCTTTGGCCGTTCGGCTGTTTGGGAGCCCGTCCTAAAGTTGGCAAGGGGCATGAATCGGTTAACGTGGGAGTCGCGGTGGAGCGCTCAAGGTGGGCTGCACAAGGGCGGCCCCATGATGCTTGTTCGTCCCGTCCTTTTTTTTTTCTCTTTCTCCCTCTTCT